CTAATTTTCTTACATGTAGTTTTTTGCGAAGAAATATTTCATTTATTTTTTAAAGTAAATGCCAGTAAAAGTAAATATAATTTTTAAATAGTAATATAAAGCACCTAATATAAATAATTTTGATTTGTAATTTTTTATTTATATTTTCCTTCCATTACACTGCATGCTTAGAAAATTAATAAATGTTTATATTTCATGATTTTAAAATTTGTTGTTAATATAACAAATTAGTTCTGTAATTATTATTATTTAATAAACCAACGTTGCCACACACAAAAAATTTAGAGACTATATTATTTCTAAATAGGATCTAATATAAATAATTTTGACATCTAATTTGTTGTTTATATTTTGCTACTACTTAAAAAAATATTTATATTAAATCATTTTAAATTTTGTTGTTAATAGGTATAACAAATTATTATTGTTATTATTATTTTTAAACCAGTCTTTGCGTAAAAACATTAAAAATAATTTTCCTACATCCAAAATAACAAGTATTATTGCAGTGTAACAACAGAATATTAATAAAAAAAATGCAGAATATATAGACATACTAACCCTAACTAACTAAAGCCAATCAATAATATTCTTTGCTAATATCAACTAATACCAAAATATGGCAACAGCGCCCTTCATAATGTATTTTCTGTGTAAATACTAGCACCTCAATAAAAAAAATAATGTGTCCTTATCTATATCTGACTCCGCAAAAAATCAAAGATGCCGGCTTAGCATTGCCACCGACCGCTGTCGGGTTTCTCGGAAAGAAACCTACGTCGCCGGGCGACAACTAAAATTCAGTTAATATTTTATTATAATCGATCCTGACGAATAAATGAATTTCATAAATGAATGAATTTTATAAATGAATGGTTTTTGCTGCCGAATTACTGGAATACAATATTTCAAGGCAGATGACGGATCTATTCGATAATTTTTATTCGAATAGTTTTCAACGAATGCTTTCTTACTATCGAATTATTTGAATGAATTGCAACTATCGAATGTTTCGATAGTATTCATTCGATAGTTCCCACTACTAGTTCAAACACAACTCGCCGCTATCACCTTGGCCCATTGACGAAGCCGGAAGGCAGAAACACTGAGTGTCTACGGGTAGTCATGTTTTAGTCATGTCTCATGACTAATCTTACTGTGGGATGGGCCAATGAATTCTTTCTTCTTTTTTATTACAGTACCCACGATAACATCTTTTGTTTATTATTTCCTCTGGTAACACTTTAAACTTTGGGGATGACGTCCGAGGAACCGAACCAAAGCAACTCGGCGTCCGTGAGCGTTCTCAAAAACGGAGGGAGAATCACAAAATTGACGCCCGAGCATAGGGACTTGATTGTTTTGAAACTTAAACCGTCAAAAATGCTAGGAAAACCGAGTAAAGCTAGTAAAAGCGAGAAAGCTATTGAAACAGTTTGAGAGGAAGTGAAAAAAAGTAACAACCGTCGAGCATAAGTATCTCTAGAGGCAGTAAAGTCTCAGTGCCTCTGAGTTAAAGACTAGTGAAATCTAGAGCGATATGGAAACTGAGGAAGATTTTTTGTCGATCGGTGCTTCCGTCAAAGGTAACGATGCCGTACCGATCGCTGTTAGATACAGGTTTGAACCTGGCGCCATCTTGCACGAGTGCTGAATCTGATTTCAGGACAAGGTGGATTTGTTCCCTGAAGAAGTCTGAATTAGCTGCACAACTAGTACGTTTTGGATTGGATAGTACCGGGACTGTCGAAGAAATGCGAAGAAGAATAGTGAGATTCATTCGAGAAGGACAGGCGAGTCCACAGCCTGTCACACAGCCTTTTGGATTTCCTGGAAATAGTGCTGCTGTACCGACAGTGAGCTCTACAGCCACCCTGACCACTACTATAGTGACAGCAACCTCGAGTGGATACATCGCTGGACGTGTAGTGTCTTCTCCAGTGGTTTATACTTCTACTTCGCTGCCTGCCCCTCTGCCTATAAATCCAGATAGGTCAAATAATTTTAACACTAGTCCAATACAAGTTTACAAATGGTGAGTGACATTTAATGGTCGCTCGGACCCTGTAACGTTCTTAGAAAGACGGGAAGAAATTTGTATTGCACAGAATATACATCCGGATCGCTTATTGCCACATTTGCCAGAAGTTTTGAAAGGAGAAGCTGCGCTCTGGTACCGCAATAACAGAGTGAATTATAGGACTGGGAAGAATTTACTAAAAAATTTAAAATTTTTTATCCTGTAAATTATGAGGTGGACCTAGAGTCGAAGATAAGTCGCCAAGTGCAAAGACATAACGAGTCTGTCACGGCGTACATCACTGATCTGCAAACGTTGATCCGCAGACATGGCAACATCTCTCCGAATCAAGAACTACAGTGGCTGTACAGAAAATTGCTACCTGTATTTCGTCAATATGTCCGGAGAGGAGACTTTCAGGACATCTCGTCGTTCTCAAGAATAACGAAGGAGTTCGAATTGCTTAGCCAGGAACTTCGTCGACCAACTCGGAGCTATACAACACTCGAAGCTGGCCCTGTTGAAACCCGGCCTCGGCGAGTCATGCCAAACAATGAGTATACAGGCACTGAGAGCCGTCCAAGGGTTAATCAGAACCCATCACCGCCGCAAAGTGGACCAAGTCACAGGCCCACTCCTACTCGGAATCCTGGATATTCACATGCCGCAAGACAGACTTCAGAAGCAATCTGTTGGAGATGTGAACAGACAGGACATTATCGCAATAACTGTACCCAGAAAGCACAGATCTTTAGCTCGAGATGTAAGATGAAATGCGTACTGTCCAGGGACTCTCCGTGTGGCCGTCCGGAAAACTAGAGCGGCGCTGCACACAAAAGCCAGTGCAGCGCTTTCCGACCGACCCTATCAACGGTATCCAGCCTGTTATGCGATCCGACAACCGTCCTACGATCAAGATACAATACAGAAATGTCGAATACTTACCCCTCCTGGATACGGGGGCGGCAAATTCTTTTATGGGAATCAAGCTGGCACATGCTTGCCGAAATTTTAAAGCCATATCAGTCAAGCCTACTCTAAGAAGAGCGACGCTTCCTAATGGTACTGATGAAGCCATTTCCGAAGCCTTTAAAATCAAGTTTCAGATAGGAAACCAGTCCTTGAACGAAGTGTTCCACATTCTGGATAGTCTTGTACCCGAAGTGGTGATTGGAATGGATATTCTTCAACGACATCGATTTAATTTGGATTTGCAGACCCGTCAAGTAAGCTTAAATGGGCGAAGAGTGACTGAAGATGTCAACACGACACTGTGTCCCATTTCAGCGAACCTGGAGACTCCAAAATTAACGCAGGACGAGCAGAACAAACTTCAGATTTTCCTGGAACAGCACATACCTGGTTTTGAGAATATTCGCGGAACAACCACTGGTAAAACTGAACTAGATCCTTATTGCTTCGCCTACTTGGACGACATCATTTTACTAGTTGAGACGTTTGAACAACACCTGACGCACCTGGAAGAAGTTTTCCGACGTTTGAAGAACGCAAACCTGAAGCTTAATCCTGAGAAGTGCCAGTTCGGACGAAAATATCTAAAATATTTGGGACACTGGGTGACACCCGAAGGAATAAGAACAGATCCAGACAAGTTAATGTCTATTTTAGAGTTGGCCACACCAACTAATGTTCGAAGTCTCCGTCGATTTTTAGGTATAGCTTCTTGGTATCGCAGATTTGTTTCAGGATTTTCACAAATTGCTAAGCCCCTCAACGACCTGCTGAAAAAGAACAATAAGTGGCAGTGACAAGAAGAGCAACGTGAAGCCTTTGACACACTCAAGGAATGCTTGACTAGAGCGCCAGTTCTGACATGTCCAGATTTCCAGAAGCCTTTTGTCCTGCAGACTGATGCAAGTGATAATGGTTTGGGAGCAGCTCTTATCCAGCATTTACATGATGGCGATCATGTTATTGCTTATGCAAGCCGCAGTCTGACCTCCGCCGAGAAGAAATATACTGTCACAGAGAAAGAATGTCTAGCCATAGTCTGGGGAATTGAAAAGATGAGACCCTATTTGGAAGGCTATAAATTTGTAGTCATTATGGATCATCAATCACTTCGATGGCTACACTCTCTGAAGAATCCTAGCGGCAGATTGGCCCGATGGAGTATTTACCTACAATAGTATGATTTCGAAATACGTTATAGAAAAGGGGTACTGAATAAAATAGCAGATGCTTTATCTCGAAGCCCGACCGAACAACCGCCGACTGAAGAGCCGTTACTGACAATATCTGAAACTGACATTTGTCCTTGGTATGTAAAGAAACGAGCTGATGTACAGGGGCCTCCGGAATTATTTCCTGATTTCTGCACTCGGGATGGAAAGCTCTTTCGTCATTTTTTGGACATGACTGATGCCAAGGAAGCCGAGATGCAAGACCCATGGAAACTATGTGTTCCAAACCTGCACGGCTCCTTGTCCTTCAAGAAAATCACGATCAACCCACCGCCGGACACTTAGGTATAGCCAAGACTACTACACGGATTGCTGCCCGTTATTACTGGCCAGGTATGTTTAGAGATATTGCCCATTATGTCCGGAAATGTCAGTCTTGCCAACAGTATAAAGCTTCTCAACAGCAGACGCCTGGAAAGATGCAATCATCACCTGTCCGAAGCCCTTGGGAAACTGTGAGTTCTGACTTAGTGGGACCATTGCCTAAGTCTACATAAGGGTACTGCTACGTCCTGGTGTTCCAGGATAGGTTTACCAAGTGGATAGTATGTAAGGTCATTAGAACTGCGACTGCCAAGGCTGTCAGTCAGGCTTTATATTACGAAATTCTGATGCGTTTTGGAAGACCTGCCACGGTCATTACTGATAACGGCACTCAGTACACCGGTAGACGATTCCGTCAACTGTTGAAGGATTTTGGAGTTAATCATTGACTTACACCACCCTACACACCTCAGGTGAACCCCGTCGAAAGAGCGAATAAAACCATCAAGACCATGATTGCGCAGTTTTGCGAGGACAACCATAAGAAATGGGATGCCCATCTCTCTGAACTGACGTTTCCCTTCAATACGTCCCGTAATGACTCGACTGGATTCACTCCGGCTTTCCTGAATTTTGGAAGGAAACTCGAGTCGTCGAAAACTCTTCTGCGTGAAGAACAGCCGTCTGTTCCGTCCGAAAATCCCGAGCCGACGATCGCAGACATAACAAGTACCGAAAATCGTTTAAACCGTTTAAAAGAAACCTTCGAATTGGTCCGTTTAAATCTATCTCGCGCCTTTGCGTCACAGAGCCATTATTATAATATAAGACGAAGAGAATGGCAATGTAATCCCGGCGATCAAGTTATGAAAAGAGAGGACCCTCTATCTTCCGCCGTGAAAGGTTGCGCAGCTAAGTTAGCACTAAAATACTCCGGACCTTATACCGTCACTCGTAAGATATCTCCAGTAGTCTATGACTTGGCCGATAAGGATAACCGCAAGATACGACGTATCCATATCAAAGATTTGAAACCCGCCCATTAGAATCACATTCTTTGGGGGAAACAAGATGCCAAGACCGCCGCTGCCGCCGCCGGATCTGCTGTCTCAAGATGCTATCCACGGACTCCTTTATCTCCACCCTGGAGGATGATCTTCTCCAGAGCTCCGACTAGGTCAGCCAGTGTCGAACCTCTGTCGAGAACGATCCCGGTAGGAGGTGGAGGGCGAAACTATCACAAGATGACCAGGCAATGCCCATTTTGGCATAGGCAACGAAGGAAGGAATTTTTTTTTGGTGTAAAAATTAAGTCGGATTTTTAAATAGCAAAATACTAATTTTATAAAGAGGACTCATTTTTTTTTCTTGTTTTGGACAAAGCATCCGGTTTTAAATTTTCTTTAAGGGGTTTTGTAACAAATTAATTGTCTGTAACAAATTAATTTTTTTTGTCTAAAATCTTGTTTCACTATCAATCTGTTTAAAAGGTCGTTTAAAAAAAATAAATAAATAAAATTAAAAAAATATATATAAGAATATATTGCGATCAATCGTCCTGCGTTCAAGAAGAGTTGAACTAATTACTCTGTGTGTTACAGGTGTACAAATGTCCATAACTGAGTCATTTGCAGAACAGTTCAACGTGGACCTGGAGGATCGACACTGACGGAAGACGTCGCTGTCGACAACACTGAACGACACGTATCTTGAAGCTTTCAACACCGCTGGACAACGAGGGATTCACCGAAGCTCTCAACGCCGATGGACAACGAGGGACTCACAGAAGCTCTCAACGCCGTTCGATTAAGCTAGTCATAACGAAGCTCTCCACACCGCCGAATGAAGATCTTCACGTTGAAGAAGACCGAAGACATTGCGTAATTTAGTTAAGTTCTGCATTTTGAAAATAAACATTTGATTTTGCGGGTATTTTATTTTAGTAAATTAATCATGATCAAGATACAAAGTTTTAGATTAAGGCTTGACCAATAAACATTTGATTCTGCGGTTGTTTTATTTTAATGATTTAAGCATAGTCAAGAGAATATACTAGGTTTAGATTAAGACTTGACAAATAAACATTTGAATCTGTCGTTGTTTTCTTTTAGAGATTTAAGCATAATCAAAGGGGTATCAGATCACAGATATACTAAGGTTTTAGATTAAGTTTTGACCAATAAACATTGGATTTTGTCGTTGTTTTATTTCAAAAATTTAAGTATGATCAAAGGGATATACTGGGTGTTAGATTAAGCTTTGGCAAATAAAATTTATTTTACCAAGGAAGTTTCATTTCAGTCAGCATAGCTGATAAAAATATATGTTCATATATTTTTAGCCGAAGGAGGGGGAGTGTAATGAAGTTCATAAAAATTTCTAGGATACCCTCTATATTGTGTTAATTAATATGGTAATTATTGGGAAAATTGGAAAAAAGTCCGATTTTCACCAAAATTGGTATACACCCTATTTTGACGTCGTAGATTACGAATCTGAACTTGTTTCCTGGCGGTCTCTTACCGTTTTTCAGGAAAACGGAAAATTATGTTTACATTGAATTTTTCTTAATTTCTCGTATTTTTAAGGTTTTTTCGCACATATTTTGTTAGGTATTCAATAAACAATCAGGTTTTTGCTATTTTCTGTTACTTTTTTAACCAATTCTATGCTTAATAGAGGAAAATTTGCTAAAATAAATTTGTAAACAATCTGAAAATGTTGGGTTATGCGTTTCTGACATTTAAAGCGACGTTGCCAATGCTAAACCTATACTTAGCGCGTTTTTCCCCCTCTGGGTTTACCAGATTCATGGAAAGGGAAATATTTTCCCCTACATTCCAAGGCAAAAACCGTTAGATTCTAACGATTTTTCCAACTGATTTTTATTGATTAATGTGCATGAGAGTACATAGAATATGAGAGATCCTCCTCCTCATTATGCTCCTCATCCTCCTCCTCCTCCCACTAATATAATATACATTTCAAAAATATGTTAATTCCTACTACTTTCATCCCCACTTTATTTACTTAGTCATATATAGCTAGTAAGGTAGGTCTTTAGAAGAAAGTAAAGCGAATCTCTTATTCATCGAGAGTGATGCAATACAATAAGAAAAAAATAACTAATGCTGTTAGAAAGCTGATTCAAAAATATACTGATTTCCGTCAAACTGTTTCTCATCGAATAGTTTTAATTAATCAAAAAGATTTATTTTTTCCACTCAAACAAGATTGTCATAGGATAACTGAGTTTTGTGCTGATTTTCTATTACAAAGGATTAATCTTTACGAGTTCGTGCGTGCATTAGGACATACATATTTTGCAAGTGAACTAACACACATTGTTCCATACGTGAGAGTAACGAAGAATTCAAAAGTTATAATAGAAATTTTAAAGGTGTTCGAGAGATTCCATTTGGATGACGCTAGAGATCAGTTACTGCAAAGATTTGAAGGCAAGTTACAACAACCCGGAAAAGTTAGAAGCACAATATCAAGAAAACATATATCGTCAATATCGTACTCCGAAATATTTAAAAAAATATATTTTGTTTTAAGGTGAAAAATGTCAAATGAGAATATTGAACTTATTAGCGCAGTAATATGTATTCATCAAGAATATTATGAATCATTTCATGAAACTTATCAAAAACTTAGACAGATGGAAAAAATATATTATGATATGATTCGTAAATATGAAAAAGGAATGAGTGCGTGTGCACAATATTGTGAAAATTATGATATATTAGAATTATTCTCTGTAATGATAGACTTAGGCTTTATAAATCAAATAACATATTTAAATAAATTTGTTATAAATGGGGGAATAGCCTACGAACAAGTAACAAACGATGTAAACACTAACATGAATAGTAACTTAGTTAACCAGGATAATTCATCCAATAACTTAGTTGATGTAGAAGTACTAATTTAGTTAAAATTATATTTTAATAATAAAAGATGTAATAAATATTATATGGATTTTTATTCATTCATAAAAAAATTATCATACAAATACAATACATTTGATAATGCACACATACAAGTTGACTTAGAATGATGAAAGCATTTAGGTGTTCCGATTGGCAAACCTGGTTGTTCATTTATTTCAATCACTGGTTTTTTGGAATATTTCTTTACAAATGCAGCTTTTTCAACTCCTTTAACATAAACAAATTCCACTTCTACTTCTTCAGTGAGTTTTTCAATTATATTTGAAAAATAATGGTGATGTTTGGTTGTGTAAATCCTTCATTCCAGTTGATACAATGACGGTTTTTCATTAGCCATACTGTCTGTCTGTGACATTCTGGTGACAGAAAGTCCATCAAAGGCTGCAAGTTCTTTAGGTAAAAAGGCGTTTTTCTCATCTTTAAATCCTTGTATATCTACAATCAACCTCATATTTTTAGTTCACTAAACTTTTTAATTAAACTTTTTTGTCTTGAGTAGTTTGCAATTTGTTCAATTTTTGTATTTTAAAAATAAAATGTTGTATTTCTCGTTGTAGTGTTGAAGCATATCTACTACTACAGACACTACGTTTACTTATTTTATATCAAAACTAAACATTAAGAGAGTGGGGGTAAAAGTTTATAATTGTTTGACAATCTTTGTTAAAGGATTGTCACTAAATAATTTATCATGTAAAATAAGACAATAAGCAGATGTGTCTTTTTTGATTGCACTGTTTGTTTCAAACTCAATTCTCATTACAACAGAACCCGTTTGAAGCGTCTCCTTTTGGTGAGAACAATCAAAATATGCAATTGGTGAAATCTCCTTGATTTTCTCAGGATTAAAAATGGGTTCATTAGAAGTACCATAATAAGAATAGCGAAAATTTGCAAACATTTCATATAAAGATGAATATTTGTTCTCTTTGAAATTTAAATATAAGTCGTGATAAGGATATCTTTCGGATTTTAAAAATATTCTAATATTTGTTAAATCTACATTGTCAAACCCTTCATTGTGACTATTTTCTATATTGGGTATAGTCATAAAATTTCAAAATCTGCTAAACCTAAGTAATATTGTTTCTCATCATCCAAATATATAGGTGGATTGAAATCAGCTGATAAAACTGAACTGTTTCCTGATATTGCTATTGTTGTAGACATTGTGTAAATGCTATTTTATTACATGTTGTTAGCTTATATTTTATTTTTTAACAATTTTAGAGAAAGTTGTCCGCAGTTGTATGAATTATATTTTTGTTTATTTTCATATGTGTAAAATACTTTCACTTCACCATTTGAATTAAAATATTTTGAAAGTTCAAGAGGTGGTTTTAAATTTCCATAACTATCAAAGTATACAACATGATTATCATTTTTAATGTATGAAGTCCAATGTGTTCCTTTATTTTGCTTCCTATCTAAATTAACAACACCACACTCTTTTAAAGATATTGTATTTGGAAGTTCATCAAGCATAAATACACCCCTGAAATTAGGAATTTTCATTACCTTTACATATTTAATAATGTCAATATTTGTAAGCGGTCTACGTGGAAAACTTATGTTTATCTTTTGGTCTTTTTTTATACCAAGTTTACCACATTTATACGGTTTTATAAAGAGTCCTTTTCCCTTATACGGTTTAATAAATAATCCCTTTCCCTTAAAAACATCCTCCATTGCTATATTATGTCTATGCATTTCTTCTAACTGCTGTTTAGATGCTTTAGCATCATTGACTGCTTTGGCAATTCCTGCAGCACCTCCACCTAGTGCACCTAACGTTCCCAATATTGGGAGCAAAAGTGGTAAAAGTCCCCAATTTTTTCAGGTGTTCGAATTATACGTTTTTTCTTCATGTTAAGCTTTCCACCTTTTTTTTCCTTTTTCTTCTTTATACCCATTCCAAGCTTTCGTTTTCCCTTCATTATGGCAGCAACAGTTAATGCAGCTACTTTTTCACCGAGAGAAGAATCCTTACCTTTTGCTCTATTCCAAGCCTCATCTCCTAACAATTTATCAGATGCGTGTCCTTTTAATAAATCTTCAGATTGAGAGTATGCTATATCATGCTGTTTACA